GTTAGCATAAATAATATAGAGTAATGGATTATAGTAATGGATTATAGTCCATTCTGCTGAGATTGTTATCTGGCTGTTCTGCTTTGGAATTTGCTGTGAAGAAGAACAGTAGTTCGGAAATCCAGAGATCTAACCCAATGGAATGGCATAAAATTAGAGAAGCAAAGTGGCTCATTTGAGCTTTGGTGGAAAGAGCTGGCCTGGGAATTAGAAGGCCTGTGTTATAATCCCAACGCTGCTGCTAATTTGCTGTGTGACCTAAGGGTCTCTCCAACTCTGACACTCTTTCTTGCTCTGGTGTCTAAAATTGCTATTAATAACCATAAGAGAATGTCTAGATGGTGTTTCTCCGTTGCTTTATCTTCCCTGAAATGCGGCATTGTGTGTGCATTGAGCACTACTGCATACTGGGACAGTACCTGCAGGCTTCACTTGGGGCTCAGCCACCCACACCTGCAACAAAGACAAATTTTTCCATAGCCCTTAAAGTACAAGAAATCTGTTTCTCTTCTTTTCTAAATCAAGTCAAATCTAGCACCAAACTAGCTAGCACTGGCCAAGATCTGTGGGAGGCCTCTGCTAGTCATTTTTTATGGTCTCATCTCCTCCACTTGAATATTGGTCCACTCATTCGTTCATCAGGTATTTATTATGCCGGGCACCAATGTATGCACGGGGGATAAAACAAGGGACAAAACAAAGGCCCTGACCTTTTTGAATTTAGTCTTGTGGAGAGAGACAAAACAAACAAGTAAAATACAGAGCATATGGAATGGTAACAAGGACCAAGGAGAAAAGTAAAGTGGCGTAAGGAAAATAGGGAGCACAGGGCACGAGGGTTGCTCTCTTGTAGAGTGGTCGGGGAAGCCCTCTCTGACAAAGAAGACTGTGAAGAGAAGTGAAGGAAGTAAAAGGGTGAGCTAGGTAAATATGGAGAGGAAAGAGATTCAAAACAAAGGGCATAGCAAGTGCAAAGGCCCTGAGGCAGGTGCTCTTGCTTTGTTTGAGGACATGCAGGGAAGCCAGGGATTGGCACTGAGTGACCAAGTGGGAAAGTGAAGAGATAAGTTCGGAGGTGGAGGGCTGGTAGTGGACGCAAGAACCTATAAGCCAGTATAAGGTTGGCTTTCATGAAACAGGAATTCATTGGAGGGTTTTAACTGAGGTTTCCAATGATCTATCTTACAGTTTAAGGGGATCACTTTGGCTACTGTGTGGCTGCAATCAAGGGAAAATGGAAGGACAGTAATGCAGCTTTAGCTAGCACACATGCCACACATGGGCCTAGGCTAATACTAAGGGATACAGGTAAATTCAAGCCCCACTGTCATGCTGTTGTCCTATGACACACAAAATAGTGAAAAGAAAATTCTTGTTCAGAAAAATTAAGATATATTGCTTGCCACCCCAGCCTGTTCAGGATGCCCTAGTTAATGAAATGATTGAAATAATATTTTATTCACTCACACAAGAAGGAAACAAAGAAAACCATCTTGACCTGTGCCTTCCCCATTCCAACTTCCCGATCCTGTTGTCATGCTGCTGCCTGGTCCCCAGGCAGGCCCTCTGCTCTCAGCGCCTCCTCTGACCTGCGCTGTGCTCTAATCTGATTCTTGGTGTGACTACCCACCCTGCTCCCTCTGCTGAGGAGTCATCACCCTCCTGCCAGAGCCTCTCTGCCTGTATGGGCTCAGGGGATGGAAGCCAGCTCTCGCACAGCTCTGGGGCTGAGGGAAGACCGGGCTGTCAGCCTCACAGCTATCTATGCTCCGTGGCTCTCCAGCTGCCAGGACTCAGGGGGAGGCTGCCAAACGAAGAACTCCAGAAGGACCAAGCTGGCCGAGGTCGGCCTTCTCTCAGGACACCAGGCTTAAGGAAAGGGCTCGCTTACCTGTCGGCAGTGCCAACCCGCCTCCTCCACTGGAGCTTAGCGGAGGGGACAGAAGCTATCCCCTAGTCTGGTCACACTCCTTGCTTCCAAATTCTCCTCACTCTTCCCAAGGACCTTTGGCTGAGTGGGGGCAGGGAGCAGAGAGGTGGAAGAAATATTTCTGTACTTTCTAAATCGTTTTGTCCTAACCCTGCTTTCTCACAACGTTAACTTAAAAGGAAGGTATTCGCTGCCTTTGTTCTGTTTCAGACATGCCTGGACTGGAGAAGGCCTCTAGGACACGAGCAAATGAGCGTAGAGGGGTGGGATTGCTGCCATTAAGGCTCCAGCTGTCATCCTGCTGCACTGTCCCAGCCCCCAGACCTTCAAAAACAAAGCCTGGCTGCAGTTGTCTTTCACACGGGGCAATTGTGGCATTTTGGGGGGCCCAGAAATACAAAAGCCACTGTTAACCCCTTGCTAGGACAAAGGAGACCCAACACAGGACCTCAGGTTGCCCTTCCTGTGAGGTGCAGGGAGAGCAGTGCAGAGATAGCTTTGTCCTTTGGCCCATTAGTGCACAGCAGGAAAAAGACAAGGACACTCATATCTTTCTCAATATCTCACCCTGTTACACACTTAAGTCACAAATTCACAGCAGCAATAAGCACCTGAGAGAACTTCTCCAGTCAGGCACCGTGCCAAATGCCAGAGATGTAATAAATTAAAACACAGTCTCTGCCCTGAGAGGGTTCAGAGTCTACTTGGGGAGACATACATTTAAACAACTAATCCCAACAACTGAGAGGTGCTATTACACACGGTGCCATGGAGACACAGAAGAGCAAGAATCCAGTTCCAGGTGCAAAGGGCTTCACAGAAGTGTTGATGCTTAGGGCACATTTTTTAAAATAACAATTTTATTTTTTATAAAAATGACACTTGGGCTTCCCTGGTAGCGCAGTGGTTGGGAGTCCGCCTGCCGATGCGGGGGACACGGGTTCGTGCCCCGGTCTGGGGGGATCCCACGTGCCGCGGAGCGGCTGGGCCCGTGAACCATGGCCGCTGGGCCTGCGCATCCGGAGCCTGTGCTCCGCGGCGGGAGGGGCCGCAGCAGTGAGAGGCCCGCGTACCGCAAAAAAAAAAAAAAAAAAAAAAAAATGACACGTGACCTTTGCAATAATTCAAACAATGGGTCCAAAAAAGAAAATAACAAAATACCTCAAGCCCCACAACCCAGAAATAACCAGTATAAACTCTTAAAATGTGATTTTATTGGAATTCTACAAGAGAAAAAGAATCCGCTGGTAAGATGAAGGAACTAGTGCAAAGGCCTAGAGTCCGAAAGTAACAATGAGCCGGTTCTGCTTGGAGTGCAGAGTGCCTGCAAGGGGGTGGCCATCCGAGACTGACCACGGCAGGAGAGCCGGGACCGCTTCTGTTTTATGTGCAAAGCCAGTGCCTGGTACCGTGCAGTGGGAGATGTCCCAGAGATATGTGCTTAAAGAATAAAGGACCATGCAGAAGGTAGGAAGACTAAGCATCGAGAAAGGAAGGAAGGCCTGAGAGAGCAGTCCATTAAGTGTAAAGAAATGAGTCTCATGCATCAGGAGATGACATGATAATAGCAGCCCCATTTAATGAGCTGTTGCATAAGCCAAGTCCTAAGCCAAGCAGTCTTCATTGTTCGTCCAATTAATTCTCACAACAGCATTACCTAAACACTATTATTATCGTCATTTTGCATCCAAGGAAACAGCCAAAAAGATTAGAGGACCTGCCCGACATCACCCAGGTAGTAATTTAAGATCTGATACTCTTAACCCAGTGCTCTGTCTTTCCTGAGAGGATTCTGAAAGATTTTTGGTATTAGCAGCAACGTTTAACATGTAGCCCCGCCCCCTCAAAGGGCTTTGCTTGCTTGGATGGTTAAGTTCTGTCTATTTAAAACCAATCTTAATACTTTAGAATCATATGTCACATTCAACCCCTCAAGTCATTGAGTGGTTAAAAGCCAACACTAGAGCAATCAGGTTTAAAACACATACGCTGTCACCCAGGAGTGAGTAGTTTTCTTCCGCTATCACGATGAATAACTTAGGGTATCTATTTTGTGTTTTGAGTGGTGGGTTTGATTGGTTTACGTACCATGGGGAGGGAAAGGAGAACAGGGGAACGTGTTGCAGCCAGGGCCTGGAAACCAGAGCTCACTCTGAAGCCTGGGAACTTTCTATGAGGAAGCTGTTTCACTCAAGCGTGGGGGCAGGAGAAAAGCAGAAGACCAGAGAGATTGGTCTAACTAAAGCAGACTGGGTAGATAAGATAACATGATAAGACCTTGAGATGATCACAGGCAGGGGGAAGTTCTTGAAAAAAAAATTTTTTTTAAGTAGCTGTCAGTGTGCTGAGGTTTGGTTCTATCTGCACTTCCCATGTACCATCTTCCAAGTTCCCAGTTCACACACCAGCCCCTATTGGCACCAATGGCTCCGGACAGGCCTGTAGAGCCCTCTCTCTTCCTTCGGTCCCAGCCACAAGTGTGATGCAGCAATGGATCTTCTTCCCCTGTGAGGAGTCCTAGCTCTTACTCAGACCCATCCAAAGGAGAGGCGGACAGAGACCCAGGTTCCAGCTCTAGAACCAGCTGCCTCTGAGTCATCTCTGCTTCCTGCCAGGTAAGGCTACTTGGAGGGAAGGCAGCGAGGACATGCACTGGCAGAGCCCAGGGGAGAGCTGGGCCAGGGCCAACCTGCAGACCTTTCCCCTGGGGGCCCTCTGGGAGCCTGAACGCAGGGCAGGCACCGACACCTCAGGGAAGCTGAGGCCTCAGTGTCCGCTGGGATGACATAAGGGAGAAGCATGTTGGACTTCCCTGGTGGCACAGTGGTTAAGAATCCACCTGCCGTTGCAGGGAACACGGGTTCAAGCCCTGGTCCGGGAAGATCCCACGTGCCGTGGAGCAACTAAGCCCGTGAGCCACAGCTACTGAAGCCCACGCGCCTAGAGCCTGTGCTCAGCAACAAGAGAAGCCACCGCAATAAGCCCGTGCACCACAACGAAAAGCAGCCCCCTCTCACCACAACTAGAGAAAGCCCGCATGCGGCAACGAAGACCCAACGCAGCCAAAAGTAAATAAATAATAAATTTATAAAAAAAAAAAAAAAGAAAACTTTGACGTTTGGGACACTTTGGGTAGACACGGGGAGTGAATCTTCCAGCTTCTGAGACAGGTGCACAACAGGCCAGACTGGGATGGATCTTCTCTTGAAGAGCCCTGTAAGCAAGCCAGCCAGCAGCCGGGGGCCCCGAGGGCAGGCCCCTGGGGCCATGTCAATCCTGCTTCAGCTTCATTCTGGGGCTCGTACCCAGAGCAGAAGTCCTCAAAATGTGAAACACAGACCAGTTCTGTGAAAATCACCTGGGACGTGTTTATGAAAACCACCAGTCCTCCTCTGCACCCTCCGCCCACGAATCAGCAGCCGGTGCCAGAGATCTGCATCTGTTTCTAAAAAGCACCTCCCAGGGCTGAAACAAACATTGTAAATCTGGAGGCTTATAAAACTCCCCGTGTCTCAGAAACCCAGGGCGAGCAATCACAAATCCCCCACCACCTTGCCCCATCTTGAATCACGCTCCCCCCAGAACACAGCGTGCCGGCCAGCCCAGGGAACGGGGTGCAGACATGATTGCTTCTACCTTATTAAGAGCTGAGCAGCCTTTCCTGGGCCCCATGCTTCATTAGCACGTTGGTGGTGTTGCTTCCTGTGGCTGACTCTCTGTTTCCATTCTGGCAAAGTGTTTGTTCTCTTATCTCTGCTTTGGGGGGGTGGGGGAAGATGAGCTTCTCACGGAGCCTGTCTCGGCCTTCTCGGCGGTTTCCCCGTCAGTGCCCCTCACATCCCCCTCACAAGGCAGAGAACCTGGCTTCCCCCTGAGCCTCGCTGCGGAGCACCACACCCAGAGGAGCTCGCCCCTCCTGCAGTCGGCATCGCAGCTACATCCAGGTAGAACCAAACCTGTTGTTTCATATTTTGGGTCAAGTCAGCCTAACATTTAAGGGATAGAGGCAAGGTAGGGAGTTGATTGGGGGGTAGAAAGTGCTAGAAAGATAGATGGGAAGCTTTAGAAAGAAAGAAAGAAAAACCAATAGACTTTATTTGTGAGGGACTTTGGTAAACAAAGATTTACGAAGATGAATTTTGAGAGTAAAATGTTGTATGTTAGGGAATGTTCGGAAGACATGGAGACCAGGAGGAGTTCTGTCATTCTTATCTACTAAAAAAAGTGGTTATACCACACAGGATTATATGTAAAACACAAACCAATTCTGCCTTTTCTCCTAGGAGTCAGCAATTTAGGAAGAGCCAGGGAAAGCGGCAGACGGGCTGGCAAACAGATGACGATTAAGAGAAGGCTTAGAAGGAGGAGCTGAAGCCAGAGACAGCCCTGGGACAATGGATGTCACCATACCGACCCGCTCAGAAATCAGAGGGAAGACCTCACAGCCCAGCACTCTGCAGGGAACCCTCGGCAGCCCAGACACGTAAGTGGCCCGGGTGGTGAGCTCTCCCCTCCCCTGATTTAGACAGAGGGCCCTGGTCTACCCTGGGAGGCTTCTACCCCAGCAGCATTGCCACCCCTCACCAGGGTGGTCCCCTGAGACCAATAAGCTCTAGGCTCAGAGGAGTTTACTCAGAACTGCTTGGAGGAAAGAAATGGGTATTGAGGAGAAAAGGGAGTTGATAGGGGGAGACAAAATATGATAACACAACATTTCCTTAGAGCTGGCTGCCTGGCCTGGTTGGATTTCTCACGCTCAGAGGCCCTGATTGCTGCCCTCGATCATTACTGTCTCAGGTCGCACCAATCACTCCTCAAAGAAACAAAAACAAAAACTAGTTCCCACTCTGATGGAAACAGAAAGCCCACTTTTTTCATGTGTTTTTAGGCCCTAGAAACTTACCATGAATAAAAATGGAATCATAGATATGATAAAGATATATCCTTAGAACATAAAACCCCACAGAACTAATCATAGATGTAAATTTTACAGCTAAAACTTCAATATTATATTAAATAAAAAATCCATCAGCCATTGAAACTTTGACAGTGGGAGGTATAAATTTCAGTGCTATCATAACAGCACAGCTCAAAATAATAAATTTTAAATCACTGTAGTTTGGGGAGGTAAGTATCATTACCATGACAAACAAATACATGTCACTTGCAGGTGGACAGAGGCACTGATGGGGAATGAATTCGTAAAATGTCAGAACCCTGCAACTCCCCCGGCAAAAAAATCCTATCTCTATATTCATTCATTTGTTTGATAATTTACTCATTCATTCATTTAACAAATATTCATCAGGCCCCTACTGAGTACCAGGCACTGTTTCAGGCACCAGGTGAACCAGACAGACAAGTTCATGACCTCCTGGAGCTTACAGTCAAGTGGGAGAGTCAGATAGAAACAGATGAACAAATGCATGGATAACATAATGTCAGTCAGTCATAAGTGCTCTGAGGAAAAACCAGGGCAGAGTAAGAGGACTGAGAGTATGAGGGAGGGTGTGGCCAGGGAGGACCTGTCTGAGGAGGTGACGTTTCAGAAGAGACCTGAGTGAAATGAGGGACTGAGCTGTGGGAGAGGGAGCAGCAGGTCTGAGAGACCAGACTGCTTTGCCAGGAACAGCACGGGGTCCTGGAGGTCACGGTCAGAGGGAAAGTGGTAGGAAATGAGGTCAGAGGCAGGCAGAAGCCAGAACAGAAGAGGCCATGAAGTTCTCACTGGGTAGGGACTATGGATGTTATCCCAAGTGTGATAGGAAGTCATGGGGGGTTGCGAGCAGAGGAGGGGCGTGATCTGATTTGCCGTTTAGAGGATCACCCTGGCCCGTGTGTGAAGATAGTGTGTTGGGGCCAAGAGTGAAAGCAAGGAGACCCATCAGAGAGGTTCTTGCAAAGGTCCACGTGGAATGCACGGTGGTTCAGACCAGGGTGCTGGTAATGGAGGAGCAAGAGGTGACTGGTTTGGATAGATGCCCAGGCATGAGCAGACAGAGTCTGCTGGTTAACTAGAAGTGGGGTGTGAAAGAAAGAAAACATTCAAGGATGGCTCCAAGGTTTTTGGCCAAGTCATTAGATGATGGGAAACACCAGAGGGGCAGGTTCGTGGGGGGAGAACAGGAGTTCTGTTTCAGACATTTTTGGTTTGAAATGTCTATTAGGCAACCTTGTGGAAATGTCCAATACAGAGTTGGGTAAACAAGCCTAGAACTCAGGAGGACAAAAATCTTCCCTGATAGATGACCTGGTTTCTAGTAACTGGGGGAGCAGGTCTGCTAGTGAGTCCTTCTGTAACGTCACTTGGCTGCTTCTTAAAGGCAAAGCAGAGCAGTAACTCCGTGCCTGCCTGGGAACTGCAAGTAACCCAGAACTTGCTCCGTGCATTTGCATTGGTTAAATTCCACAGAACAACAGAGTGTTGCTTGGAGACCAGCTCCACAAGTTGGTGCTACAGGGGTTATTCAAGTGCAGGCAACCTGAACTCTTGTCCCAGAGCTGCTCCCTGATTGTAAGTTGGGTAATCTTCTCCTTCGAGCAAGACAGAAAGCCCAGGAGCAGGGAATGGGGGAAGCGGGAGCAGGTGGACTTGACATTACAAGTTTGGAAGACAGTGTGAAGCCATAGAAAGAAGAGTCTTTGGGCCCAAACAGACCTAGACCCACGTTCCATCATGCTCTTTCCTACCTATGTGATCTTTGACATGTTACTCTACCTTTCTGAGTCTAATTCTCGGATTCCTTGGTCACAAAGAGAAATGGGATTGTTGTACAGATTAAATAAGGTTCACCTGCAAAACACTGGCATCCAGTAGGCCTTCAAAAGGGATAGGTCCCTTCTCCCATGTCCTATTTCCCTCTCTCCAAGGGAATATGACCCTGTCTTCCACCACCCAGCCCACCCCACCTCAGCTTTCCTTCACCGGGCTCTCATTCCAAATCCGCAAGCCCTACCTCCTAAAGGAAACATCTTCTCCAACTTCCCACCCTCCTATGGCTGGGTCATGGCATTTGGTTTTCCTCGCAGAGCTAAAGACCACAACAGCAGCATCTTTTCTGGGTTTGCGGGACTCCTTGCCATCCTCCTGGTTGTCGCAGTTTTCTGCATCCTGTGGAAGTGGAGCAAATGGAAGAAGCGTGAGTCCCTTGTTCGTCCAAAGTTGAGACACACTAGGATCAATCAACTAGCCCGGTATTTAAAGCCCAGTTTACCCTCCAGAGATAAACTGTTGGGCTGGGCAGTCCTCTGTTCTTACCTGACACACGGGTCATTTTCTCCCTTGGGATCCTAAGCCGTGGCTCCATAAGGCTCAGTGCTGAGTGGAGTTCCATTTTGAAAGTCATTGCCCTGGTATCCCTGTGCCCTGCTTCTGTCCACTGAGTCCCCTATGCTTCTAGCTCAAAGGGAATTGGTCAAGTCTGAAAACGTATTTTTCATGATACATGGTGAGGGTGGACAATATTTTCAGGGACCATCTCATCCCCAAGGGGCCCCGCATTCTGTGCAGCTGGACCCAGCCATGACCTCCTTGTCTCTCATTGCCTTGCAGGGCGAGTTCCTTACTTCCAAGTTACCGTCATGCCCTTGCTGACTCTGCCTCGACCCAGACAAGTAGCCAAAAATATTTATGACCTCTTGCCCCGAAGACAAGAAGAGCTGGGTAGGTTTTTCTTTTTAATCCATGGAGTCCAGACCTACAGAACTTCTACCCCCAGAATGTACCTCTCACCTGGACGCAACTTTCTCTAAAGTTGCAGACCTTTCTGCCCTTCAGGGAGCATGAGAGAGAATGGGATAGATAGACTGCAAGATGCAACTCCAATGGGGGCTTGGAGAGCTCGAAGAAGGGAGGGGGAGGTCATCTGGGTTGGGGGTTTTGTTTGTTTCTTTTTCCGATTTCATTGATTAAAAAATTGACATACATCACCGTATAAGTTTATGGAGTACAGTATGATGGTTTGATTACATAGACAGCAGCTTTGGTTTTTCTTGACGTAAGTTAGCAGGCGACAGCTGGGTACGTCTAGCATTGGGAAAGACATACAGAAGGAGAAAATGGCCTCCAGCCTCAAGGCAGGGAGGGTTCGCCCCAGGAGCCTCCTTCCCAGCCTCCTCAATTCCTGTGCTAGTGTCCTTTTGTCCTCAGCTAGCTGAGGAGGGTTCCGGGTCTCCTAGCACATCATCCCTGTAACTCTGACCCTCTCCCCACAAAACGCCAGGCCCCAAACCCCAGACATCACACAAACCCACTTCACCCAAGATGCAGGAATTGTACAGGCTGAAGCACTCGGAGGACTGGCTGACTACGTTCAGGGTTTGTTCTCTGTCCTTTCAGGAAGACATCCGTCAAGAAGTATTCGTATTTTCAGTACCGAGAGCCTCCTCTCCAGAAATTCTGACAGCCCTCCCTCTGAGCATGTGGTAAGAGTCAAGTGAAATGACAACCCGTTTGGGAGAAATGATATGTCTCTGGCAGAAGAGCTGAAGTGCAAGAGTGCTAGGTCTTGGCTCTAAGCCTCTGCAAACAGCATGTCCTTTGGCACACACACACACCAGCCCCCTGCCCCCCACCCCCTAGGCCCTATTAATAAATTGGGAAGACTAGCCTCAGGACTTCCCTACCACCCAAGGCAAAAAATTTAGAAAGAGAGGAGCAAGCACTTGGGATTTTAGGAAAGGCACCAGGGCACATGTATTCAAGGACACGATGTTAGAACTGAAATGTGATTTCCAAATGAGTGTTGTCGCCTTCAAAGTAATCACCTTGGGAGGGTACCTAAATATTCCAACAGTGCTGCTGGTACTCAAAATACTCTTAAAGTCCTACTTTGACAATTACTTCTGAGCCTGTGTCAAATTGTTTCAATCCTCCTCCATAGCAGAAACACTCGTAAGTTCACTCAGCACTGTAACTGGTGTAGAAAGCACTGAGCACGTCGGGGATACCTCTGAGGCTACAAGGGGACTATTACAATTAATAACAATAATCCCTTGTGTCTTGTAGTCTGGCTCTGAAGGCAGCTCCCCGGGAGGAGTCACACCAGGGACAGGAGAGGGACTATTTTGAAGGTCAGGGTGCTTATTTCCATAGACAGGTTCCCATTGGCCTGTTAAAAGAATCAGTTCCTTTGGTTTGGTGACCGGCCTTGGGTGCGCACAGCCATGCTGCAGCTCCTACTAATTCGGTTGTTACCCAGCCTTTCTTCACTCAGGGGCTTAGGCTGATTACCACGCGGCCGCTCCACGTTGCCGCCTTTGCTTCCCCTTCCTCTTGCATGTCCCATCCCTGGGCTCTGATCCTGCTTCTAAGACTTCCTGGGGGCAGCAAGTCTAAGTGGCTGATAAAAGGAAGAGCAGAGGAAACTCCACTGCTAAAGCTACTTCTAGGACTCAGGGGGGCCCTGAGGGAAGTTTGCATCTAGAGTTTAGATTTCAAACTGGCTTAAGCCCACAAACATGTTTGGATTGTACTCTGTAGTGTTTGAAGGACATCATGAACCAGTTGGCAACATTCAAAAACCTAAAAGGTTTCACATTAAAGTCCAGATGTCCAGCTTTTCTTGAAAATCAGAAGTTCTGGGAACAACAGACTAGCATCTCTAATTGGCCATAAGCAGCTGACCTGCGTGTCAGCTGCCCTTATACTAATGTAACGACAAGCATTTTTTAGTGTCTCCTTTGTGCCAGGAGCTATTCGAAACACTTTACGGTCCATAATCCATTTACTCCTCACAAAACCCTCATGGTGTAGATACTATGATGACTATACCCGTTTTATAAGTTAGGAAACTAAGGCACAGTGAGATTAGGTAACTTGCCCAAACTCAGCATAGGGTGGTGAGGCCTGGGACTTGCACCCTCAGGCTGAGCCTAAGCCTCTACCTTTAACCGCTATGCCGCACCTCAGTGTGCTCTGGGGTGTGGCAGGCTCTCTCCAATTCATAATACTTCCCCCACTCCCCATTGAAACCCCACAGTGTGGCCAAAAAACAGTTGCAATTTATTGTCAAATTTACACTGCTGCTTTCCTTAAACCCAGCCTACTTCACTTATTCCTACCTAGCATCTGAAGTCTTGAGGTTTGAGATCCCTGATTCAGACCTTTTCTCCAAAGTGAAGAACTGAGAGGAAGAACCATTAGATGTAGTAGTACTGGGCAGGGAAGAAGAAAGGTTTTGTCCATGTTTCTACTTCTATCCTGTCACTGGCTTTCTCTTCTTACTCATAGCCCTCCCAAGCACGTGATGCCCTCCATGTGCACAGAGCCCATACCCATGCCATGGGGTATGCAGTGGGCATCTATGACAATACCATGGGGCCCCAGATGTATGGAAACCTCACTCCCTCAGCGCACTATGTCAATGTCAGAGCTTCAAGAGATTGCCCAAGCACTTCTTCAGAGGATTCAAGAGATTATGTCAATATCCCCACAGCAAAGGAGATTGCTGAGACTTTAGCTTCTACCAACAGCCCTCCTGGGAACCTCTTCATCCTCCCAAGTACCAAGGTGCTGGAGTTGACTGAAGAAATAGATGAGGGCTGTGGGAACGCCAGTGACTGCACCAGTCTGGGGTCTCCAGGAACTGAGAGCAGTTATCCACTCAACGACGGGGAAGGGTCTTCTCAGACCTCAGATGATTATGTCAACATGGCAGTGTTGGATCTCGAGACCATCCAAGGGAAGCAGCCCTGGGGAACTTTTCAGTGCTGCAGAGATTATGAAAATGTACCACCAGATCCCAGTGGAAGCCAGCAGCGGGAGGAGAAGGAAGCGACATCCTCAAACACGGACCATGTAGAGGGCAGGGCAGATGGCCCAGAGACCCACATCCAACCTGTCGCGCAGTCAGGGGGTTTCCTGGCCCTGAAGGACTATGTGGCCTGTCAGCCCTCTGCACGGAGTGAGGGCAGCTGGATGAAGCACGCAGAAGATGTCAAATGAAGGCTCTCATGCCTACAAGAGTGTGGGAGCTGCCAAGGTAGGAGGCAGGGACTTCGAGCAGGGGCCTGACACATGGCTCCTTCCTGATGAATTAAGACCCAGCCACCCAGCTGGAAAGTCACGTGGAGTGGGCTGTCCTGCCGGATCCATAGCCATTACAGGGTCTAGTGAAGACCCTTGACCACCCTTGTATTTCAGTGGATTCGTTTGGTTACGCTAAAGAGAAGCTGAAATGAGTAGGGAGCTAAGAGGCTCACAAAAGCAGAGGTTTGAGGAAGTCAGAAAGAAATTCTTCTCAGGCAGTGTGCGGTTATCTCTCATACCAACTTAAGAATGCTGAAACTGCCTTACAGGTCTGTGAGGAGGTTAAAAATGGAAGAGTGCTTTAGTACACAGTGGAAACATGAAGTAGTCTAAAATCATTACCTTCACTAATACCAGCAGGCTGCAAAGCAGGAATACAGATTATTTGGTAATCCAGGCAGAGGCCAAAAGGAACAAGGAAGTTGGGCTGGGGTGGGGGGACAGTTTCTGCTCTAAAATGAGTGTGGACAACCAAACGCTGGAGAAAATGCAGAACAACAGGAACTCTCGCTCATTGCTGAAGGGATTGCAAGGCATAACATTCACTCTGGAAAACTGTTTGGCAGATTTTTTTGTTTGTCTTTTTTTTTGCGGTACGCGGGCCTCTCACTGTTGTGGCCTCTCCCGTTGCGGAGCACAGGCTCCGGACGCACAGGCTCAGTGGCCATGGCTCACGGGCCCAGCTGCTACGCGGCATGTGGGATCCTCCCGGACTGGGGCACGAACCCGCGTCCCCTGCATCGGCAGGCGGACTCCCAGCCACTGCGCCACCAGGGAAGCCCGTTTGGCAGTTTCTTATAAACATAAACCTATTATACAGCCCAGTCATTCCACCATTAGGTATTTATCCAAGTGTGAAATTTGTATTCACAAAAAAACCCATACATGACTGTTTATAGCAGCTTTATCCATAATTGCCAAAACCTAGAAATAACCCAAATGTCTTTCAACAGGTGAATGGATAAACAAGTGTCCTATGTCCACACGATGAGTTTATCCACACTCAGCAGTAAAAAGGAGTGAAGTAGGTTCATGCAACAACATGGACAAATATTAAACGTATTTTGCTAAGTGATAGAAGCTAGACCTAAAAATCTACATATTGTATGGTTTCATTTATATGACATTCTGAAAAAGGCAGAACTATAGGGGTGGAAAACAGATCAGTGGTTGGCAGGTTTGGGGAGAGGGAATGGGTTTACGACAAAGGAGCTGTACAAGGGAATTTTTAGGATAATTGTTCTGTATTGTACTATGGTGATGGATACATGACTGTATTCATTTGTCAAAACACACACACAAAAAAAAAAAAAAAAACACACACACAAAAAGCTGTACAGCACAAAGGGTGACTTTTATCATATGCAAAATTTTTAAAAATTCACCACGCTGTCAGGGGAACCCACAATAAAATGCAGATTGTAAAAAATGAATCTAACTGTTTCACAAATGTATGATATAATCTCACTGAAGGGAGTGGGGGGAAAAATGAGCTGGCCTAAGTAACTTTGGAAAACAATGTTTTGCTTGAAACTGTAAGATAAAGACACAAAGAACTGAAAACAAACACTGCAGTCTAGTTGGTAAATTTGTAGGGCATACTTGAACAAATAAGTAAATATATTACAGGTAGGGAGAGGCAGATTTCTTGCTGTCAGAGAAAGAAGTGACAAATAAGCAAGTAGAAAAGGAAATATAGACGTGTATATACATAGGCTAGTATACATATATACTTCCTAACTCTGTCCACTGGAGGGTCTAGCAGCAATCATGGTCCAGTAGCGGTGAATGCACTTAGCTCTCAGACCTTGGTTTCTAAACTTGGTAGACACCACCTCAACCATGTGATCAAGGTCAACTCACCAGTAATAAGTTACACTGCTATATGATCAAGGAGAAGGGTACTTCACCGCCGTGGTATTCTTCCCCCAAATCCACAACCCCAGTCTTATCATGAGAAACATCAGAAAACTCAAATTGAATGACATTCTACAAATACCTGACTGGAACTCTTAAAAGTGTTAAAGTCATGAAAGACAAGGGAAGACTGGAGAAACTGTCAGACTGGTGGAGACTAAGAAGACATGATGACTAAAATATAACATGATGCCTTGGATGGGATCATAGTACAGGAAAAGGGCATTAGTGGAAAAAATGGTGAAATGAAAAACAAGAAAGTCCATATTTTAGTTAATAGTATTGCATCAATGTTAATTTCTTAGTTTTGATAAATGTGCCATGGTTATGTAATTAACATTAGGGGAAGCTGGGTGAAGGGTATACAGGAACTCTCTGTACTATCTTTGCAACTCTTCTGTAAGTTATGTCAAAACAAAAAATAATTTTAAAACATGGACAAAGCTGGAAGTGAAGACATCTAGGCTCATTCCACTTAAATAAATGTGCCTTTGTTCCTTTTTCTGTGAAATGGACATAATATAAAGCATATGCTACTGTAATTGTTCTGAATATTTGTCTGTTTTCTGCATTGCTCTGTTAATGTATGCACTCAGTCTCTCCTATCAAACTGAAATCACTTTGCCTTTAGGAAAATATAATTAAATCCTTTGTATTCACCCTAGTTCTTGGCACAAGGCCCAAGATGAAGTCAGGTTATCGACGTGACACTTGATGCTGTGGTTTCAGTGCATGTCTTTATAAAATGTTGAGTGAGGTTTTTTTCTGTGGTTCAGGAATGGACACTAAGGCTTAAAGCTAAGTATCAAAGGCGTAAAAACATCCCACATTCTGAGTTCAGAGCACCACCAGCTGTTAGGGGTCTGCCAACACCACTCAAGGCTTACTGAGAGTAGGAAAAGTAGTCCTACCATGTACTGCTCTCCACCACATCGCATCCCTTCTCCACAGGAGAGGACTGAGATGTGATTGCGGTTAGCCTTTGAGGACATGCTGGTCAGGAAAAGAGTTTCTTTCCTCCTTCACTGCCCCCGTCCCCAGGGATGCTAACCATCTCTTCTGCAGAGTACCTGATGCCCCAGTAAAAGGAGAAAGAGCAGTGTGTTGCCAGAATTGAGAGAAAGGGCTGTGGAGCAGATGGCCACCCACCGTTGGCCATGGCAACAATAAAAGTGTCACCAGAGGAAGGCAACTGGACCTGGGTCATTTTGTTGGCACCACCTCAACAGGGTGCCAAGGCAAGAGGCCTCTAGGCCTGTGAGGTATAGACCATCTGAGGTGGCTTCACAAACACTTGGGTGGGTGCTATAGACTGAACATTTGTGTGTCCCCAAAATTCATATGTTGAAACCTAATCCCCATTGTGAGAGTAGTAGAAGGTGGGGCCTTTGGAAGTGATTAGGTCATGACGGTTGAGCTCTCGTGAATGGGATTAGTGCCCTTGTAAAAGAGGCCCAAGGGAGCTCCCTCATCCCTTCCGCCCTGTGAGGACACAGCAAGAAGATGGCTGCCTAGGAAGCAGGTGCCAGGCTCTCACCAGACACCAAATCTGTGAGTACTTTGATCTTGGACTTCCCAGCCTCCAGAACTGTGAGAAATAAATGTTTGCTGTTTAAGTCACCCAGTCTATGTTATTGTTGTCATAGCAGCCCAAGCAGACCAGGACGGTGGGATAAAGACAGATTTTTACAGGAGCTAGCTCTCTCATACCTGGTGGCTATATTTTGGGTAGATTTCTTCATTGCTCTCAGATTAACTCTACATGTGACCAGCATTTAAATTCCTGCCACACAGAGGGTACCACATCAGTCTGATATTGATGGCCGGTAAAGGTTGGCCTGGGAAGCAACAACAAGCACAGAGGGAGGATGGCAACCTTACTCAGTCAAGGAAGGAGAGATTTTGTATCAGATGTGAGATGAAGATTCAGACAGAACTGAAAAACACTGGCATGTAAGGATTCTCATAACCAAGAGACAGTTACGTAGTCGAACCCAAGTCCATGTGCCCGACATACAGTGAGGCCAAACAAACTGAAACGTCGGTGTTTGGAGCAGAAAAAGGTTTATCGCAAGGGCTATACACGGAGAATGGGTGGTTCATGCTCGGAAGACCTGAACTCCCCAATGGTTTTCAGGGAAGAGTATTTTGTTTTGTTTTGTTTTGTTTTGTTTTGGCTGCACCACTTGGCTTACAGGATGTTAGTTCCCCAACCAGGGACCGAACCTAGGCCACAGCAGTGAAAGCGCTGAGTCCTAACCACTGGACCACCAGGGAATTCCCAAGGAAGAATTTTTAAAGGCAATATTTAGGGTGAGGGCTGCAGGCTTTACAACTTTCTTTGGACTAGTTGGTGGTGAGGTAAACAGGGTGGTGTTCCAGGAATCTCAGTCATCAACCTTCTGGTTCTCACCAGTCTGGCGTCTCAGCATGTATTTATCATCCTCCAACTGGATGGGGGTCTTAGTTCCTACAGAACAACTCGAAAATATGTATCAGATTGTTATGTGTATTCCCTGAGGCAGAACTAGGACTCTGTTCTATCACTGAATTATTGTTTCTTGACTGCTTTTCCTGTGTTTCTGCATTCTTTAATTAGTAACTGCTTGAATTTGAATCTGTTCTTTGGAACTCAGGGAAGGCCTAGGAGACTAAAGCCTTCTTCTATAAACAAGAAGTGTGGGGGGCGTATCTTTTGTACCTGGGAGGGCCCCACAGGATCCTGCTCAGTGTCAATCCCCCCTTTTCTTTGATACTCCTCAATCTTGAGGGGAACAGGGGTGGGACAAGAAAAGGAATAAGTTTTGGATAGAGAGGTTAATCATAAACTCAGCAGAGGAACTCAGTTTTAGGGGCACTCAAACCCAGCCAAAACCTAGATGGGACTTGAACCCACGGTCTCTTTTTTTTTTTGTCTGTTTTAAAATAAATGAATTTATTTATTTGTTTGTTTCTTTGTTTATTTTTGGCTGCGTTGGGTCCTCGTACTGCTCACAGGCTTTCTCTAGTTGCAGTGAGCAGGGGCTACTCTTTGTTGCAGTGCGTGGACTTCTCTTTGCAGTGGCTTCTCTTGTTGCAGAGCACGGGCTCTAGGAGCGCAGGCTTCAGTAGTTGTGGCGCACAGGCTTAGTTGCTCCGCGGCATGTGGGAACTTCCCAGACCAGGGCTCGAACCCATGTCCCCTGCACTGGCAGGTGGATTCTTAACCACTGTGCCACCAGGGAAATTTGAACCCACAGTCTTTTAATTGAGATCACACACCTGGTCTCAGGACTTAACGAAGCTCAGGTTCTTAATGTCTCATCACAGAAAGAATTTAGTGAGAGACAAAATGATAGGTAAGAAGTGGATTTATTGAGAGAGAAACACATTCAACAGAATGTGGACCATCTCAGAAGGCGAGAGCGGCACCAGGTTACGAGGTTGCCAGTTTTTATAGGGATGGGTAATTTCATAGGCTAATGAGTGGGAGGAGTATTCTAGTTATTTTGGGGAAGGGGCAGGGATTTCCAGGAACTTGGCCACCGCCTACTTGTTGACCTTTTATGGTCAGCCTTGGAACTGTCAGGGCGCCTGTGTGTGTGTGTCATTTAACTTGCTGATGTGTTACAATGAGTGTATACTGAGGCTCAAGGTCTAGTTGAAGTCTTGTCTGCCGTCTTGCACCTAGTTGGTTCTAACCAGTTTATGTCATGTCCTATGGCTTTGTCATTCTTTTAAAGGTTGTGCCCTGCCCTCCTTCCTTCCTGTTTCAGTTTTAGTTATGAGATGAAAAACTATGGGATCAAAATGAGCTACCACCCAGTAAGAAAGGGAGGTTCAACCTACAACTTGGGTGGCAGGTCTTAGAAAAAAGAAAGCCAGCTCATGCTTATACCCCAATGAGCTGGACACCTCAATAAAAAAGAAATAACAAGCCCCAAATGGAGCCATTTGCCCTCCACTACATCAAACCACTGCTTCATTGAAGTGTCAGTTCTGCCCAGAAATGTGACCTGTAAAACAATATGAAATTTCCTGATCGGTACAAGTGAGGTAATCTGCATGATAAAGATCCTTGCTATTCCCTTCCCCTCAAAAAGAGGAGGATCTGGCCCAAAGTAACCTTTTTCTTTTGCTAATAACTTTCTTGTCCCACCCTCCTTTCTATAAAAGCTTTCCATTTTGTACCACGCCTGGAATGCTAGATGGGATGCTGCCGGATTCTTGAATCGTCTAATAAAGCTAATTAGATCTCAAATTTACTTGGCTGAATTTTGTTTTTTTAAACATCAGTTACCCTTATATACATTCTCCCAAATTGAGAATAATTAATAAATTATTTTCTCAGATAGGTAACCTTTCTGTTTATTTCTTGTTCTGAGAATTTTTACAAATGAATGGA